CAGCAACACAGATTAAACCTTATTAGGTATATTTATATTCTGTTTGCAGTAACAGTGCTGTGGCAAATAGCTTTCTACAGAGCTGTAACATCTTATTAATGGAAACAGCAGTTAAGACATGAGCTGCGGTAACACTCACATGAGATTTTATTTTTAAATAGGAGATTGAAGGAGTTGTTTAAAGGGACTCTGCCGACTCATTCAAGCTACTTCTGACGTCCTGCCTTCTTCCTCTACCTTCTTGAACTACACTGATCTGTTTGGGTAGATAAAATATACTTTTCTGTCCTGTTTGGTCAAACCATTTCCATCACTTTCTTCAGTCATTTTTTTCTTTCCCCCCCTCATTTTTTTTTTCTCCCTGTCAAATAGGACATGTGGATCTATTAAATTTTGCATTAATAACATGGACATTGTAAAACGTTATACTACCACATTGTGTTCTGTGACCTCCACTGCAGTAGCACTGCTAGAGTCCTTGTCTTTTTCCAGATCTTTTCTGCTCTTCTGGGTTTTTCCTCTCTTTGTCATTGTGCCGTGTGTGTTGAATAGGATATTTAGTTTTATACCTGCTACTTGAGCTCTATATCCCGACAGCACATGTCTGGAAATTGCAACGTTTTAACCGCCGGTGATTGCGGGCCTAGGCAGAGCAGCTTTGTGTGATGCCCCAGCTGCTTCCTTCTGAGGCATTTTGAGGCAGTTTAGTTTCATTACTTCACATCTGTGGCCTTGTTCCCAGAATGTCCTTTCCACAGAGTGGGGACAACTTGGGGCCAGACAGGTCCTAGGGTGCATAGCATGTGCTCCCTCAGCTGTGGGGTGCCTGGGAGACACAAGTCCTGGGTAAGTGTAGGGTTAAGTACAGTTAGGAGGGTTACCTTCCTAAAGGCTGCCAAATAACGCTCAGGAATCAAAAGTTTTAGTGTTAAAAAAATAATATAGACAAAAAAGCCTTTTACTTTTTTACGTGGTCCACATATAAAGCAGTGAGGCACTGTTGTTTCCCTGTGACTCTGCAGTGAAGAAAATTGTAGTTCCAGTTAAGTTGTAAGTAACAATTTCATTCGAATCCTGCTGATAATGAGAAAATGTTGGGGTTTGACCCAGGTGTTCCAAATGTTGCCAGTGTATCTTTTCCTCTTCTGTAATGTAGTCCTGCTACATTATTATCAAAAGCTATCTAGTCTAATAAATTCCAAGATAGTTTAGTTTGATACCAAAATGAAAGGAAATGGCACAGAGTTCAGAATGTATTCTGTATTTAATGCTACTGAAACATAGCGTTAAATAGCTACTTAGCGGGCTTGATTTGCTGCTCAGTCACATGTACTTGAATACTGTGTGTAGCTGCTGCTGCGTTTGGGTACCCACCCGGGGGGAAGTGCTCAGCCCCTTGGTTATAGCTTTGCCTTTTTCTTCTGTCTTTTACTAGCCTTTGTTGCCACGAAGACTGTCTTGCATCTTGTTGCTGTTACAAATCTTAGCAGTGTTTTCTGTACGTATATTCCAGGATAAAGTGGGAGATGAAGTGCTGAAGCTTTGCAGTAGGCTGGGGTATGGGAAGAGGAATGTTTCTACCAAGTACTGCCAGCCAGGTTTCCTTCAGAGGTGGGCTTGTTCCTTCTCACTTGGAAGTGCTCCAGGCTAGCCAGTCCTCCCTGGAAATGCAGACCAGTGAGAGTGAGTTCCCTCAAGCCCAGTGCCATACTGAGTTGACTGAAATTGCACCTGCTTAATATTAAGTAAATGTGTTGTTCAGTGGAGCTAGTGTGTACTATTTTAAACTCAAGTGGAGATGCACATGCTTTCCTGTACTAACTCTGTTAAGAGTACTGGCAGTGACTTTCCGTCTTCGTTGTCCCTGAGTTGATGTAAACTTGAATAATTGGTCTGGTTGTTACTACTACTGCTTTTGAATGTACTCTGACCTTGCATTTCAATACACGGCTACACATTTACCTTTTGAAAGGATCTTAACATTGATTTTATAGAGAACTCTCCCCTCATATTAATGGTAAGTGCAATGAGCAGTTTGCAAACGCATGTAAATCTGAACTTGAAGGATTATAAGGACATCTAAATGTTTTCATATTTTATTGTTTCATTTAAGTTGACTGCAGATAGTCTGATATCTGTTGAAGCACAAAAAGAGCAAATGCTAAAAAAATTTGTACAATAATAGTAACTAATAAATGTTTCAAATAGAAAATGAAGAGCCTAGCTGTATCATGTGTCAGCACTAGCGTTTATTTGTATCATTCCTCTAAGGATCTCAGAGTGCTTTTTAAGCAATGAATTAATTTTGACAATGCCCTGTGAGGTGTGTAGGCAATATTATCCCCCTTGATAGAAAGGAGTTGGAAGCAGAAAGTGTTTAAATTCTCAGGGTCGTGCTATGAGGTACGTTTAATTACGAATTGGAGCAGTTGATTCAGTTTACTACCAGTTTGTTTAATCTGAAACAGAATCATGAAAATAAGCCCCAGGTTTGTGGGTATGAGAAGAATTTACTTCAAAGTTTATTTTGCAGGAGAAATGTTTATAAAGAAAATTGCAAGTAGAGTAATCGACATGTAAGTCCTCCCTCACTGAGGCAAATAATCCAAATGATTATAGCTTAATTTGTGGTCTTCCTGATTTATATTGTTTTCTTCTTTTGCCTGTAATGACTGTTTAATCATCTGCCATGGATGATTTCTGACACTTTGGAGAAAGAGAATTAAAAATTGCAAACTAGTGTACCCCTGGACCAGTCGTGAATTATGACTTTTGCACATGACTGGCTGAGTATCTGAAGTGTAAAATTTGTCTAATACTGCTGGTTTACTACCTGTTATTTGCTTGAGAATATTAAAAAAAAAAAAACAACCCAGAAATCTTCCTGGTGGGTCAGAAGGGACGAAAGAAAAGAAGCTTGTTGATGCCAAAATGTATACCACCAGAACCATCTAGTTTTTCTCCTTACCACCTTTCCAGGTACAGAATTTTTCCTTTCAGCTGTCACTCTGCACACGAAATCCGCATGGAGAGGAGGGGACTACTAAGTTTCCTCCCAGCCTTCTGGTGCAGAACTGGAGCCCAGATGCTTCTGTTTTTCAGATCTTAACAGTTGATTTTCACTTTTTTATACAGCAAAGACTGTTTTGCAAGGAAGGGATCTTTAAGTATGCTTAAGAATGAAAGTCTAGATCCTCCTTCATGGTTTCAGTGGCAGGATGTAATAAAAAGGACTTTTCTGCATCTTGATCAGATTTAAGTGGTCAAAAACAATCAGTCTGTGTAAAAGAATGGCACATATCCAACAAATACCAAGAAGACTTGATAAACCTGAAGGGTTTTTTAATATAATGATAATAGGAACCTTAAGAGGGGTATATTGATAAAAGATACCTACAAGGACATCTCCTGTATTGAAACTGATCCCGTGTAGTAGGTTTGTGTGCATGGGTGTAATGTGTCTCTCTCTTGCCACATGAAAATATCAGCTGCACTGCTTCAAATACAAGTAGAAAAATCCTGATTTAATTCACACTTGTTAAAGAATTGTTTTAAGTAGTACTCACTCTTGCTTTCAGCTGTGATCTCTGGCAAGAGGAGCTGTTTGGACTTGTGCCTCTTTTTTATGTTCAAAAAGAAGAATGCTGATGAGGAAGAGGTGTTAAGATATGTTACTGTAGTTTACAACTGTCAACTATAATGTTTTATTTAGCTGTATCTATTCAGATGTTCCCTCCGCAACATGGAGTGCCATATGCCATTGTCCCTGTTAGTAAGCAAGTCAGCAAAGGTTTCCCAGTCTGCATTTGTTTTTGTATTTGGGCCACTAAGGAGCTGCAGTCCAGTGCCATCTTTTATTGATAGGGCCAGCAGAGGAGGAATCTAATGAAATTATCAAAGCTTTGAATTAATTATGAACGTGAATAAGAAAGCTAAGCTCTCTAGAGCCAAGGATCTCATTACCCATTCATTTTCATTGCGTCCTCTTATGGAGCAGAAGGCAGGTTCAGCTACAGCTCCTACCCTGTTTTTGGACTTTGTTCAAACTTGCTAAACTCGCTAGCATCCACTTGTTATCAGTCTGTGGCTGGAAGTGTCCAAGGTGATTAAATGGACTTTGCTATAAATCTTCATGTAAAGGGCAGATTTCCCTCCTCCTTTTTCTCTTACCTTTGCTGTGTGGCTTTTTGTCGTCAGACTGGCTGCCATACAAGAGTTTCTGTTCTTTCTTGGTAATTGGGGAAAGCTGTTCAAGACTCAGTTTTAACTTCCTGGAATTTAGTGAGTTAATGCTGAGAAATAATATTGCTACCTTATATTCCCTGGATATTTAGGTAAGCACGAACACTTCTAAAGTAATTATAACAATTGTTTATTTTATTAGAAAGGACTATGGAGTAAAAAGTAATGATTAGACATTTTGGCCTCAGAAGTGTGTGTGGGGGGCATTGTGGGGTTTTGTGGTTGGATTTTTTTGTTGTTCCTATTTTAAATTTGTTGATCACGCTACAGAAACTTCTGAATTTGTCAATACTTTATTATGATGAACAATTAAATTAGTTTGCCTGATTAATATTCCATTAAAAACTGTGAAAAGTCTATGAAAATGCAGTGTTTTAGTTAGATTATAGTTATTTTAACTAATAGATCAATATATAAAAATGTTTCTGGCAAATTAGAGAAAAAGCAGTGAGACCAAGCTTCTGTGTAATATTCCTAGTTCTTGTGGATATTCCTCTCAAGTCTACCGGCAAGGATTTTCTTCTCCTGCTTTTGTCCATTTCAGCACATTATTTATGAGTGCATAAACTAGAACCTATCAGTCTTCATAAGTTACAGGCCACTGGCAATATTTTAAGCAATGGCCACTTGCCTAATGGTCTCTGCGTGTGTGTGTGTATTTGGAGAATCTAATAGCTTGTCGGGTGGGGGAATAACATTTTGTTCTTGTGCTATAGCTGTTTTACTGTTGGTGATATTTATCTTTTTTCTCTCTTCAGGCAGCTGCTATATTTAATTCCGCTTTTGGAAGTTTTTTGGTAAGTAATGCAGTATTTATATCAAGTGCTTTAATAGTCTTATTTTTAACAATATCATTGTATTTTTCACATTAGTGTTGGTGGAATTGTGCTATTCAGCTGGCAAAAATTTGAATCATCTTTCAATTTATGTCACCATGTCATTAAATACAGATATCACAATTTCTTTTCTTTTTGCTAAACTCTTGAGAAAATCAGTGAACAAATTGTCTCTGCTCATGGTAAATTAATAATGTGTAAACACATCTTAATTTTCTCCTTAATGGGTTAACAGAATCTTATTATTATGCAGATGTTTCAGACATGGGCATCGATATATAGATTTTTCTAATAAGGCCCATCAAATAGTCATTATTTTCTATCAAGAGGCCATGGATTTTGAAAAGAAAACATGACCCAGCTGATCAGAGAGTAGATGCTAATTTACTCAGTGACATGTCATTTGTTTAGCATATTTCACTGTCAGTGAAGCCACTCAATGTCTCCGAGGAACACACTAAAATAGCTGGATATGGAAAGCAATCAATCCAGCTGGAGATATAATGATTTCTGTAAAAAGCTAAAACAGTATTTGTGGACCTGGTGGTCTACAAAGATTCAGAAAAAACACTGTAAAGAACACTAAATAAATATATTTATGAAGAAAGGAAGAATAGATTTTTTTTTTAATTGATGTGTTGTTTAGATAGACATTGATGAATATTAAATACAGATTACTTTATATGTAGGTAAGCTACTGTAACTGTTTTATTTATTTAGGCAGCTAATAGTAGAATTTGTTCTTCTTTACTAAAATGTGTTTAGAAGTGTGCATTTGTCATGCCAATCTTGTGTCCCCATAAACAGGACTATGATGTAGAGAATGAATGAATGAGAAAAGAATTCAAATTAGGAAATTAAAATCAAAACTGCAAGTACAAAATAACTCACTTTATGCATATTTCTTTTATGAAAAGCTGGAGTTTGGGAGTTTAAGTGTGTAAAGCTGTACTGCCAGGAGAGGAAGTCGTATGGCATTTTGAAGTTGTGCATTATGCTGCTGCTTTTTTGAGGGACCAGGTTAAAGTTAGGAGGGTGGATGTAAGTTTTATAGGTATAGATGACCATTCACATTTTAAAAAATATCATTTCCCAAATACTTGTTCCTTTTGTCACCTATCATGTTCTCCTCCAATGGGAAGAAGGTACTTTCTGCCTCAAACTGTGGAATCCCAGTGTTAGAGCAACTTTAAGTCTGTGTATGTGTGTGGCATTTTCTCTTGTTGCTTGGCATGAGCTCCAGTTTCTCTGCTGTCCCTAGCTTTCCGTTCAGTTTCCTTGAATACCCAAAGGCCTCAGTTCAGCTGTCATTAAGAGAATATCTTTTGACTTCAAATAGGAATTTAGGCCCCAGAGCATCTGACTACAATACTGGCTCCTAGTAAAGCAATGTAAACGTATTTTAATTTCTGGAACCTGTTTGTAGCTCTTTGAAGACATTTCATTAACGAAGCTGAGCTGGTTTGTGTGTTCATGTAATACTCCTGATATTGGTTTTGATCTTAGTTCCATGAACTGATCATTGGAAAGTGCCATTTACATGTAATTACCTCATTTCACCTTTTATTTACTTCATTTTTTTTTTTTTTAAATCTTGGAGCAGCATTGCAGTAGACATTCTTGTTAAAAAAAATTCCCAGGAAATACTTTTCAAAAATATTAAAGATCAGCTAGAATCAAACCACAATATCAGCTGAATTTTTGTAATTACCAATTTTTTAAAAATATAATTGTAAAGAAAATGACCACTCAAGTCACAAATGTATACAAGCACTTAGACACTTATTGTCATATCCTAGTTTTAAATAATGATTATGTAGGGAATATGCATGTAAGACAGAAAATAGATCACAAATATGTTTACTGAAAGCTTTGCTCTTACAAACTTTTCCGGTTATGCAGTTGGTAAGATGAACCTTATGACTGAAAATGCAATGAGGTGATAGTAAGCCAGGGATTGTAATAAGTAGCCAGAGTTGTTTACCAGTTTCACAGTGCTGTAGGTCTACATGGCCTTTAATTGAGTGGCTCCTGAATGGCACTAGCATGTGGTCACTTACTTTGTTAAGTTTTCCATGAACAACTGGTGAAGCATTAAATATTTATGTATATACACACGCACACTTGAAGTCAAAACTGTTCTATAAAATATGAAAATAATTGACCTGTTTCTGAGAAGATAATGGAAGGTCCTGGTGGTGTTTTTGGAAATCCATTGGTTTATATTGGTGCCTAATTTACTGGCTTGGCTATAGGTGGAGATCCTATTTCCTAGATCTTTATTCATGATGAATCTAAATCACATTTTCATTTTTCTTATTAGTGTCTGATAGGCTGTGGATAGGCTTAGATGTAGTTATATACCTTTGTGACCATAACTGTGTATATGTCTTGGAGATAATTTGGAAGGATCTGACCATTTGCAAGGCTGCGATTTTTCTTATGTTCGTTGTCTTACAATCTGTAGCACATGGGTGAGTTGCTGCACTTGGGTGTAGCCCTGACAAAGCCAGGAGGACAGTATGTTGTCTGTTCTCAGACTATGCCCTGTGGGCTAGTGCCTGTGTATGATAGTGTGAAGCAAGCTGATTTAAAAGGGCTGAAAAATGTGCTATGCTTTTAACTCTTTTTTTTCGTTTTCCCCACTTTTTTTTAAGACTAGGAAATGGTCCTTGAGAAGTTAAAATAAACTGTAGAACAAAATGTCTGCAGGAAAACACTTGGCATGTTAGAATGATACCAAGATGTGCTTACTCAGATGAAAAGGAACACATTGTGATACGCAAAATGTAGAAATGCCAAAGATGTCTTGATGAGCAGAAATACACTTAAAAGAAGCATTTGGAGTCGTTTTCACTGATAAGGAGATTTACAAAAAACTACCAACCAACTGCAAAGTAATTCTTTTTAAACTCTACCAAAGCCCATATTGCTATAAATACACAGGCAGAACAACACATGGAATAATACTGTACATATTTACACTTAGTTTAGTAATGTCCCAGGTCTAATTAAAACACAGTGTTTTAAAGAACTAATTGTTACAGAAAAGCATTTTTATGTAGCTAGATTAGTAATAACTAACGATAGATGAATTCAATTACATAAATTTCAGCCAGGAGAATATTTAGAATCATACCACAGAGGATTGCTTTGAGTTGAGTTGTTAATATCATTATCTCCTCCCCTCATTTAAACAGTTTGGTTTACAATAATTGTGGAACATAAGAAGTGATTTCAGTGTTTCCTCCTAATGGGTTTTTAATAAAACCTGATAGTGTTTTACTAATAGTGGGTGGTTGGTTATCAGCAAGGTTTGTACTGTAAAGTATGCAAATACGTGCTAAGATCTGCTGAGGTAGAAAGCACGAAGGTAGCTGCTTCCAGTTGTAGGAGAGGATACTTTTGCACCTAAAGGCTAAAGAAATTGTCTGGGATGTTAACGATGGGTCTGCTGAGATTCATAACATTGTATATATTACCATGCTTCCTGAGCATTTCTATTCTGCCTCTAAAAGTTGTGCTGCAACAGAAAACTAATGCTTGTTAATGTCCAAAGTGCAGAGCAGGAGGTGGGATACTACAAAACATGCTGTGCTGATGGTTGTTGCATGGTGTTTGCTGGGGTGGCTCAGCTCTTTGGCTTTAAATTCATCAAGGCATAGCCTGTCGTTGAGGCTGTTCTTGCACTGAAGTGGAAATGTGTGCTCGGTCGGGAGCTAAATTCAATTTGCAGTGACAATGTAATAACACGTACATGGAAGGAGGTGAGGGCCGAAAGTCGAGAAGACGTCTTCACAAAATGCTCTGCACTGCTAGACTAGAAACAGACTTGTCTAATCTCTTTCTACCTCTCATTAATCTCATTTCCACTTGAGACAGTGGGCTTGGAAACTCACGAGAGTGTCCAGCTCGTGATGTGAGTGAATGTTGTCTGATTCTTTGGTGCCTTGGGGTTATGAACATTAAGTATGAAAGGAACAGCCATAAGCTTCACCTTAAACAAAGAACTGTAACCAAATTCTGAAGGTCTGTGGTGACAGGAAATCAAGAAGAAAAGAGACGATTCAGAGGACGTTGCTCTGGTGACCATTGCACTCCTGAAAAAACAGAACGAAGGGCAGCCGAAAATGGAAGTGTTGGTTAAGACTTCTTATGATGATGACTTGGATTAGCTTCACTTCAACCTATGGGGTGAAATAAGGCTGTTTTCAGGCTACATAAGTCAGTCTGAAGGAAGGAACCTATTCCAGGTGCCCATCATTTCATTAATCTCCTTTGTCCATATCAAGTATATATGGTTTTGTTGTTTTATCTGATCATCTTTCAAAGGGGTCAGAGCTGGTTCATATTGTTCAAAAACTCAAATAATTTTTGGAGTAGCCACTTGGATAATCAGATGAAGGCTAGTGTTTTATTTACATTGTCTTCAACTGAACGCTAAAGCTAGCAGGGAATGTGAAAGTTAGCTTCTCGCATACACACAAAGACTAGTTGGTTAATGAAAATGTATGGAATTCTTATCTACTCTGCTTTAGCAGGCATAATGATTTACACAGCCTGACAGCACTAGTGCAGCAAGTAAATGCATTAGTCATAGTGTCCATTTTTCTTGCAAATTTGTGACACAGATTTAATTATGGGAATGACCAGCAACTTACAAATCTAATTTTGGTAGGCTGAGCCAACTTTTTTATTTTAATAACAATGGATTTTTTAGCAATGATTTCATTACTATTAAAAAACCCCCAGCCATATGGAAATAACCAATAGGCTGAATTTATATACTTTATTTTACCTTAATGGATTTTGAATGGTTTAGGTTTATTTTGGCAGTTTTTATTATCACTTTTTTATCTTAGTTTTTTCTTTATATCTTTATCTGGCTTAATTATTTCTAGCACAAACATTGTAAATATTTTTCTAAAATCAGGCAAATGTTTGCATACCTCTTTGTTCCC